TGAAAAAATTCAGTTTTTTTGGGACATTGAGGGCGATTAATAATTTGTTAGTCTCGCATTCGGCATGATTTATATATGTATAATTGGTTGTTTATACGCAAAGCATTTTTCATACCGAATACCGAAATTTTAACATTTCAAAGTGATAAAAAGTGATATAATTCTTGACAAAAAATTGATTCATTAATCTTCTTAATTTTCGGACACTCCACTTTTGCAGTTTAAAAATAGTGTTTTTCATCATCGAAGAATCTTCGCTGTTCATTTTGTTTTTCTAATATAACAAAACTTTCTGTTAGTCAATTTCAAAATCAATTTATTTCCTAAAATTTTTTTTAATTTAAAATTAATGAAATTTTTAAATGTTTCTTCGTCATACGGTTTGGCCATCACAGATCCGATTTTATGCCCGTTCATGACTGCAAAACTGCCATTCATTAAAAATGAAATCCGGATGATGTTGTGGATCAAAATTAAAACCAATATAATCAAGACTTCGACTTTTCTTCTATTCTCATTCTAATTCAAAAGCTTAAAAATGTTATTACCATATATTTGTAAACCTTAAAATCATTGGAAGTCTAAACAGGTCAATGTTTTTTTTTTTGAAACAATTTTGGAAGTAAAAATTGATAGAATTCACGAGAAAATGTTTTACAATTATATTTTATATTTCATATTCAGTACAGACGGGATAGCAGAGTGGTTGTTGCTAAAATTATTATCTTGTATGTCAGGGTTCGGGTCCTGACTTCGAAAAGAGTAAACCTGCTATCAAGTAATCTAGCTAGTGTTGACGATCTATCTGCACTCCTGCTAAGTGAGACCTTGGAGAAAATTACCAACAGCCAGTGGAATAAGCTTAACCATGGCATGGTGAATGCTAATCCCTTATTAACTATAATATTCAGTGCGTTATTTTTTTTTAAGAAATTTTTATTATTCAAAATATATTATTGATAAATATTAATTAATAAATATTAATAAATATATACAATAATATTCAAAAACTAACATCGTTTGATGTTTTAACTGCGAAATTAATCACGTGGGTAGAAGCGGAAATGTCTGCATAAACCCTATGTTCAAATGAAGAATTACCTAGAATTTTTGTTGGCCGCCAACTAACTAATCTATAATGAATAAGAGTAGGTTCAGTTTGTTGCTGCTCAATTCGAAGCGTCGATGTTAGGAGTGAACGTGCCTAAAAATCTGAGTGGTGAGGGCGACTCATCTGTATTTCTATCGTCAAGGGATTCTCCGGTATATTTGTCCAGTGCGACAAGCCAGCGGAGCGAGTCTTACCAGTAATAGTGAGGGCTTAAAGTAAAAACTGAATAGATCAATTATTTGCATTACACATGAAGTTCACTGAGTGACGTATTTCCATCGCTTCATCCTTTATTCCCTTCTTTTCTTCTAATAGTAGTTAGCATTTGGTCAGCTTCGGTGCCTATCAGGAAGACTGAGAAATTCTCACCAGAAGGACATTTAACGACAGAAATATAGGTGAGTCAACAGCACTACCTATTCTACGCTGATTAATGCAACAATGAAGTTTCTATTTTTTTCCCAGCATTTAAATGCTTATAAATGTACCTAAATACTTAAAAATTAAAATTTGAACTATTTTAAAGAAAAAAAATTTTTTTCATGCTTAATAGACATGAATAATAAATTATAATTGTCCCTAATTTCTGAAATAATTTATGCGAACTTTATAAAACAAAAGTTGTACAATCTGTAGCAATCCCATCTCCTTCCCCTCCCCTCCTGCTACAAAACCTTGGAGGAAATGAAAGTGAAATGAAGAATGGTTCTCAATTAATGATTTCAGAAATAATCAAAAGATAAAAATGATTTTAGACGATCACGAGCACATTTGAGTTCAGAAATACCGCTAGGCCTAGGCGTAATGCGAATTTTCCGGACTTTTAACAACAATAATATTCATAATGTGCTTTTTATCACAGTATATACGTGTAGCGAAAAAGGTTTAAAATGACGGTAAAGTGCATAGTGTAGAAAACTCTAGAAAACTTGCAGAAAATTTCCTGATGATGTCTATAATTTTTTGTACAGATTATAATTTATTTAAATGAAATAATTAAATATGCTGAATAAAATTGCGGTCGATTAGCCGGACCTATTATGTTTGCATACAGCTGTTTATTTTAAAAATGGAATATTAGATAAGGAATTCATTTGCAATAAAGCGAGGCAATATCGAATTTATTTCTGCTTAAATAAATTTATTTATTGCTGAAGTTCATAAATTTATTTCTGCTTAGATAAACGACGAGTATATACGGGAACCGGTTGTGAACTTCAGACGCTTATCTGACTTTCAATTGCCACTTTCATACTTTTATATTTGTATTTGTGCTACAAATGAGATTGCCAAATGAGATTTTATTATAAAAAATATTGCCCATGTGAAGAAATTCACGAATTTCTCCACTATCCGTTACTGCTTCAACAAAAAATGGAAGAAAATAGTAAAAAACAACTTGTAAATGATTAATGAGTTTTGACTTCATTAATATAGATAATTAATAATGTAAAATTGATGGATATCCATCAAACAAAGATATTCAAATAAAGATAACAAATGATTTCAAAGCATTAATCTTACTTAAAAAATACAATTCGAGAAATTTCTGCACAGACTTGGCGTAAAAATAAAATTTTGTCGTCTAAAAGTCCTTTCTTAAGATATAATAAATATAAATAGAAGATAAATGGTATCATTTCTTAAGATAAAAATAACACAAGGAAAGTTTTTAAATGTGGCGGTATCCACAAAGGTTTAACTTTCCTTCAATAAATGATGCACATTAAACTAAGGAGTCGAGCAAAAATCGAATTTATGAAAATATAAAAGCGACTGCGGATTTAAACAAAAGATTAAAATATTTATTATTGCAGATAATATGGTTCCACTTCTATGTTTTCCATTTTCCATTTATTATTAAAAATTTTTCTTATTCCACAAAATATCTTCCATTTTTCGTAAATTGATTAGTAGAACCTGACGATTTTCGTAAAGCTTGGAACCGGTGACACTCATAGTGTTGTGGTTGTTAGCGCTTACCAATGCTCGTTCAACTGGCCATTAGTATGGTGAAACAATCAATTGAGGATAAAAAATTGCTGTTCGACCAACGAATACCGCAAAATTTTTCAGTGACGGTTGAATTCCTACTAGATGCAAAAGTTGACCTTTTCGTGCTTGAAATGAAAATTTAAGTAATACGCATTAAACAATCCAACCATGCTCATTATATCCTTCCTCTTACTTGTTTTTTCAATTGAACGTGCCAATGTTTTTTTGGAACTTCTCGGTAATTAAAAAAATCTTTCCATTCCAATAGTCTGTTTCATTTCAATTTTTCTATAGCCAAAGCAAAAAACAGCATAACATTTCGCTAACTCCAACGTGTACCAAAGAAATATTTCATTAATACAAATAAGAACAGCTATGCTCGTTAGAAGCTGTTTACCTTGAGATCAAGATAACTGCAAGTACACTGGATCTAAATCCGGAAATATCTTGCGTCAATAATTATTTTAAACAAATAATAAGTATTCAAGGATTTATTTCTGATGTGAAAAATTCTTAAACTTTACGATCAAACCTTAACATTAATTATCATCACTATTAACCAAGGAAGAAAACATTCTAAAAATATTTCCTCATGTTTCGATCATTTGAACACTTTCTTTCACAGAAGCTTAAAAATTATTCTATCACATTATTCTATTGATCTATCACATAAATGTGAAATTTCAACATAAAATGGTGAGCTCTTACATTATCACCTGAAAAGAAAACCTTGTCTTGTCGTTGAATTAGCCAGAATAGAAAAAATCTGTATAACTATAACTAAACTTTGACTCTGAGAAATAAACCTTCTTTTTTATATGGATTACTTCATTTAGCTGATTACCTTACAGTAATGCTTATAAAGTGCTTAAAATAATTTTCTACCAATAGTCCTCAGAACGACAAAACAAATTTTACAATTCGGTTCTTGTCGCCGAATGGCGAAAAAAATTGCAAATATGAGCAGGTTATCCGGATCGCACCTGCTATGCCCAGCAAAAGAATTAATGAAATAAAGGGAGAGTTGGAGAGGATATTAGAAAATATCCCATAATAATAGTAGAGTACCTCATAAGTGAGAGGTAAAATGTAGCTTTTATTAGAAGATTAAAAACCATAAATCTTCCTGCCTATCTAAAATTAAATATAAGCTCCCAAAAGATCATTTTTGGTCATTTTATGCTTCTATTAAGGAAAAGAGTGGGGAGCGATGGGTGAGCTGGGCGTTTATATATTATGTTTGATTTTATTTACTATATTATTTCTTTGTGGTAGGACAATTGTTTCGTTTTGCTTTCTTATATATATTGCGTCATCACTAATGAAGGTTTCCCAAGTTTGAGGGTTCGCAACGAGAAAATTAAGAAGAGAACGCCGGCCGCAGAGTTTATAATATTGTATAATATTGTTAAGAAATAAAACTCCCGCGTGGCAGGAAAGTTAAATCTACACAGAAAAAATACAGTGGAGCGGATTCCCAAAAAAAGTTTTTGTAAAGGTAGAATATTGGAAGGAATATTGAATATTGGTAGTGCTAAGAGTGTAACTCTTTTTTCTGTTACAATTCTATTATGATAAAGATGTTCATCGCCAATATTATTTCCAGCCAACATTATTATTATCATTAACAGAAAGTACCATTTTTCATTACGTTTGTTAGTTCCGAATCTAAAAAAGACGGTTAAAGATGAAAAAAGGACATCTGAATATATTTTCATTTTCTCGATTATTATTCAGTTCAAGAACAATAATAGCCATATATAACTTTTTGATAATGGTGACGACAAATTTCACTTTCAAAAGGCTGAATAGCAAAATATAATGAATAAAAAGAATCTAAAAAATAATTAGTTAAACAATTACTGCAACTGATATTGCTGTCAACTTGCCATTTTTAAATATTTTTTTCCTCGCTTATAATTTCCATTTGGCCATAATTTTCGGTCTTCATATCATTAAGACCGAGTTCTTCATTTTGTTCAAATGATCTTTCGTAGAATTCTTTACCCAACCTGTCGTCTAACAGCGCATTCAAACTCTGAAATAAACATTTAAAAATTTAAACATGCAAAAAAGAAAATAATGAAAATAAAGAGGGGAAATAAATAGCTAGTAACCTGAATGTAGCTATTGCCCGCTGGATCGTCCAAAATAAGATGAACTCTTTTTTCTAAAGTCAGAATTGAATCAAACTTAGTTAAAAAATTGGCCATATTTGATTTATCATCAATGTCTCTGCTATCGCCAATAATGAAAGATTCCTGTTCCTAAAGATAGTATAGTTAAAAGAGCTGTTTCTCATAATATGGTACATCAAACTTCAAGAAATTCCTTGTTTATAATGCTGAAAGTAATGAACATGGATATGGCTCAAATGAGATAAGATAATAAAGAGCACTGAAGTTCATTTACAACACCTTAAGTTGCTTTCTTATATCCAAAAGCAAGCCTTCAACTGTAGTAAATTTCCCAGAGATTGTATTTGGCCCTACTTCGAGCTCCAACTCTGGTACAGCTAAATAACAAGTATCCGATTTCAGAACATCACGATCGAGATCAACTTTCTGAAATCATATCTGAAACCATTATTTCAATTCAATTTCTGCATGATGTATTATTAAAGGTATGCTATAGATAACTCAAAAACGAAACGTCAATCGGGCTCGACATAAGAAAAAAGCAAAATGATTAAGAAAGAGTAGAAAAGAGACCAAAAAAAACCAAACAAACCTCTTCAATTCGCAGAATAAGTTTACATCCTTTATCTTTTACTGCACAACCACTTTTAACTTCATTTGTTTTATGGCCACAAACATCACATGTGGTACACATAATAATGACACTTTCAAAATAAGGAATATCTAAGTGAAGATCACATTTTATTAAGTGAAAATTAGGTTTTTTAAATATCATTTATATCTGTTAAAAATTAGCTCTTTGCCGATCATTTGAAAATCCAGAAAATATAATCCTTGTCTGCTTTAACTATCGTAAATGAAATGAGAAAACATTAATTTAATATTTATAATCAACATTCTCTGAATTTAAGAAAATATGCATAATTTTAGATAAAATTAAATGAATCATGTTGAAGTAGTTTACCTGTTAGCTTCATGCGTGTCTCCGTAGGGGCATTACAATTGGTACATTCTGTTGGGAATTTTAATACTTCACTTTTAATGTCGTCATATGTTCGCCATTTTGGCGCAATATTTTCTTCCTGAAAAAAACCACGTTATCGGATTAACTTTTTATGAATTAGTAAGTTATGAAACCTTCGAACTTAAATAAATAAACTTTAACAAAATATACTTTTTTTTTATGAATATGAATATTAACAAATTAAAAAATGACGTTGTAATTACCTTACCATGCAATCATCAGAGATGAGACCAACAATTTTTTTCTCATCCATGGTACGCTGGTAACGAGTCATAATACATTTACGATCGACTTGAAGAGGAACTGGATTTTGAATGAAACTGTTACCAGATGCATCTCGGATTTTCTGAAGATAAAGAAATAAATAATTAACTCCTCGAAATAATCCCTTTTACAAGAATCAAAAAAATGTTAGTTATTTACAACGGTAAAACTGCTCCTCAATTCGATAAGGGCTTCTATTCTTTTCAAAAAATCGTTGATCTTATTAGCCATATTCATATCAATCTCGCGACGCTGTTCTTGGTCCTGTTCTAATCCCATTCGAACTCTGCACAATATTCCCTCAACTGTTGTTATTTCTGAAAGCAAAAAAAGCGTAGATAGAAAATAAGAAGATCAAACAATTTATATTAAAAAAACATTAAAAAACTGATATCTAAACTTCGATAATTTTATTGCAAAAACTGATTTAAGAAACCTCCAGGTTGCGATTTAGCGGGAATAACAAGTTCGAGCTCCGGTATCTCTATCTCGGCATATTGCGATATAACCACTTGCCTGTTTAAATCAGTGCGATCGCTTACATTCAATACGATTTCGACACCATGTTCCTGAAAGCAGTTATCACTAATTAAAATTTGACATGTTATTTTAACAACGATTTTGAAAAAATATTAACTATTATTATATTAGAAAAAAATATTAAAAGAAAACGTTTTAAAACATATAACACACAAACTTTTACCTGGACAGGTTCACCACTTTGTAGTTCATTATTACTATAACCACAACGATCACAGTGAAATGATAACAAGATCACCTGCTGATAAAACGGAATACGCATAAATAATATGCGAGTTATGCCCTCAAATTTTAATTATAAATCTCTGTTGGACAGTTTTACAAAATTTACGGAATTATATCAAACACAACGGAAAGTATTTGCGCTCAATAAAAAGCATATAAATTCCGAGACGTCCTGCATATGTACAAAACAAATAAAAACGATTGCCGTACAATCTGAAGAACTCCCTCCCCATCAATTATTCACATCATAGAAGTTGGTAATAGTCTTTAATTTAACAGGTATGAAACTGCCATTTGGCAATTCTTCATAGTGAAAAAGAACTGTCAAAAACACCGACCGACCACCGACTGACGCCAAACAGGGCCATTATCTTTAAGATCTATTTCTGCTAATAGCCTTATTTAAAAATTGACAATCACATAATAAATATTGCCGATTAAATTATAGATGGTATATGAAACCATGTGAAATAGAGAACACTAGAAAACCTTAACAGATAAATTGAAATGATAAATGATAAACAAATTAAACTTACGTTTTCCTTACAGTTGACGCATAACGATTCGACGGAAAGTGGTTCATGATCATCACCATCGCCATAATCACCGCCATTATCACCGTCATCAACATCGCCATTATCACCGTCATCACCATCGCCATAATCACTGCCATTATCACTGTCATCACCATCGCCATAATCACCGCCATTATCATTAGATGAGAACAGATTTTTATTTCCATCACAATCCGGCTTTAGTAAAACCATTGTCTATTTTAAGAAATTAAATTCAAAATAATATAATGAAAAATAAACTATCAAAAATAAAGTAAATGAAAAGTGAAGAACCAAAAATTTAAAGATCTTTATAAATCGTCAGTTCGACCGAGCCACTTTGAACTCAGCGAAATATAAATATAGCAACGAATTACTAATTAGCGGTTAGTTGGTTTTCCCCAAAATAAGAAGTTTTAATCGAAAGTTCGCTTCATACGGACGGACCTATTGACAACTCAAACAACTTTTAACTAATCGTTGTTCTAATTTTAAGTTTTCAGCGAAGCTTTTCGAAAAAATGCTTGTCGAACAGCTGACTTTTTCCCAGTTTACATTACCAGAAATTCGTATTTAAAAAATCCGCAAGTAAATCGACGAAATTCAGAATCCAAAAAAATTAACTAAAAAGAAGAACTCTACCTCAACCAGTAAAAACTTGTAGGGAAGAAACTATAAAAACTTAGTCTGCTTAACCTATAAAAACGGATAAAAATAGAGCTTTGCTAATTGTCAGCTGCGAGTGGGTTACGATTTGCTTTCGTTGTTAATGATATGCCCGAGGCTTAGGTAATTCGGTTTGTATGGGTGGGCCCACTGGAATAAAAACTTTTAACAAATGCTTATGTTGGCTTTTATACTGTTATAGGTAAGCTCCTCGTTGATATTTATCGAAGAATCGAATATTCAATTCTTTTTTCACGTAGATTAGAAAATTTGTTATAACAAAGCGATTGCTGTTTTGGTGTTGCATTGTAATAAGGTTGTATAAAATTTTGTTAAAGGTGAGTAAATGAAGAGAAGACGAATAAAAGTGACTTAGGTAATTCAGTAGTTGTGGTTTGAATGAGTGATATGGAGTGCTGAGAATTCAGACGCTGAAATGCAGGCGGCATTTAAAAATGTCGAAGTTTAAACTTGTGTTTGCTAATTGACATTTGCTAACTGTCATGTGGATGCAGCTTTTGATTGAATTATTGGAAGAATGGAAGTGAAAGCGAATCATCGAGGACCTATTGTATTTGATCAAGTTTTATCGGATAACGCGAAACAAGAAACGAGTTTGGAGAGTGTCTCAGAAGGCAAGGCGATAATTTTTTTTCACGAGCCTTCGGGTGTATTTTATAATGCTGCTCAGACGTTTAATCGAGATTTATCGTTAGTTTTTTTAATTCTTCAGATTTCGTTGGAAATTTGAAATTTCCATGACTTTTTTATGATAAAAAATTAATAAAAAAGAAGCTTTTTACGAAAAAGTTCTAATTAAAATTAGATAAAATTTGAATTTAACCAACACCAAACTTGAAATTTTTGTAAAAATTATAGACTTAATTGTATTTAGCCAATCATAAATTTTTAAGAGTCCTTGTTTTGCAACATTTTGCCGTTAATCGGGAAATGGAAATACGAAATGCAAATAAAGATTCGATGCAAGAATTAGTAGAAAATGAAAGTGATCTTCCATTTGTGAAGAAAATAAAATTAGATGATGGAGAAAAAGAAAAAAATTATTCAATGAAAATTTTGGATGCACTTTCTGCAAGCGGCATTCGAGCTATTCGTTTTGCTAAAGAAGTTTATTTTCCCACTTTTGAATTTTTTTCTTGATGTTTTTTCTTGACGTACATTTTTATTTTATGGTTTCACTGAATTTCTCTCGTATGTTAGGAATGTTTCTTGGGTACTTTTTAGTTATTCGGCATTATTATTGTCGAATACTGTTTGTTGCATCGATGGTTCAATGGCAAGATGATCGCCATCGAGAATCGAGGCTTGTGTTAGAGTCGGCCGACGCATCATTCTTGTTCTTCTAACAGTTCTCACTGTTATTGGTTAGGCCGGCTCCTCTGGCTACAGGGGTAAGACGTCTCCAAACTGCTGGGTCCGATGCCATTCTTAGTAATGTATATCGCTGTTCCCCCTATACGTTCAAAATCTTTCCTGACTGTATCAGTCCAGATCTTGATTAGGACCACCTCGCTTCTGACGCCAACCATCAGGGTTTAGCAAGTAACGATATATGTCAACTCCTGTGGTGGATGACGGTGCCTAACCAGCGAAGGCGACACACTGTGATAACATTATTTATTTAATATTATTTATGCAAGTCTGAACGAAGGTGGATGTGATCTTGTGATATCTTATCCGCTCGATGGATCCATTATACCTTAGACAAGAGTGGTCAAAGGCAGATAGCTTCTTAATATCGTCCACTCTCATTGGTCATGTTATGTAGCCAGCAAGATCGAGCGAATTGAAGCTATATGGACGCTGGTCTTCATCTTTATGGTGATTTCGCGATAGTGCCATAAAGATTTCATCAACCGGGAAAATATATTCCTAGCTGTCGTTATCTGGGTTACAGTTTCATCCTTTGCCTGGCCATTTGGGATTGGAATGGTTCCAAGAAAAGTCGAGACTTCCTCAACCAGCAATGAATTGATAAAGGCTATTTTTTAGGTATTTATAACCATAGGTATTTTTCACCATATTGCAATAAGACGAAAATACTTTCATTTTATTTGCATTAATTTTGAATCCAATTGTCGCTGTAGTTGTTAACATATTGTTTAATATTATTTGCATTTCATTATAACTGTCAGCAAAAAGGACTACATCATCATATAGTGCTGACTGAAATATTGCAGAATTTTGCTTTTGAAATGCTCATAGGCCATGCGGTCATTTACTGGCTTCCAATCAATCAGAGCGGATCGAGCCTTTTCAGACATGACAATGGCTACGCCATTTCATATTTCACCCCGAGTTATCCATAGTGATATAGCCAGTATCTTTCCCGGTTTAATAATTACTCGAGAGCCGACATGAGAAAGACGGACCTCCGACAAACAATCCACATCCACGAGGTATGTGTGTGGACAGTGATCGCTTGATTTGCAGCGTCCTTAAGCTTTTCCAAGCAGCTATTGCCAGCATCTCTCTGCGCTTACAAAATTTTAACGGACTGGTTCTTGTCTCCCTTAATGGGTTATAAGTAATTATCCCACTTCGCGAGCATATCCTGTGCTCAAGCCTTGGAATTATTTTATTATTATTGCCGTCCAGATCCTGTATTTATCGCCACCGGATACCAACGGATCAGAAGTATTATGCGCGTCGGAAGAGAAGACGCGGTCGTCGCGTTAGAGAGATCTTTCATCCTTTCACCATAGAGTCACTTTGGGATAGAGTTATAAGTGGATCCCCACCATCCATCCGGATTTTTGACATGACATGTTTACTCCTATCAAAAACAAAAAATAGAGATAATTTAATTTAAAGGTAAAGGTAAAAGGTAATGAATAAAAATTTCAAGAAAAAAATATCTGATTCGAAGAAGAAGAAAATATATATATATGTAGATAATTCTGTTACATGATAACATAGCAGTAAATAATAAATAAAATTATAAGGTAATATAATAAACAAGTGATAAATTTCTTTTATTTATTGATTAATGAGCGGAGCACCTTTTCGGCAATTTGCTCTTTCTTCATCATTCTTCATCGAGTAGCACTATCCCCTAGCGGAAAAAAACGAAGGAGAGTGGAATGGCTCAGTGGGTTGTTGCTCAGTTTGCGACAAGCTAGTAAAGGAAGTCTAACCAGTAATGGTGAGGGCTCTTTAAAAAAGTGTTGTTTGTCACAAAAAAATAGTTATCATGGGACTTCGCTATTACAATAAAAGGTTTATTGCAATAGATCTAGATTTTGTAATAATAGTATAGATAAGAGATGAAGAAATAACCAACCAGAGTACTTCTGAATTTTTATTGATTATGCTATATTCAACATGCAAGTTGTGAACTATTTATGCAAAAGTATTATAGGTACCATTTGTCTCTGAAGTTATAGCAAATGATCTTTCTCATAAAGCTTTTAATCTCATACGAAAGAATATTGAAGCGAATGGTGTAAGCGATATTGTAAAATATAGTTCTGCTGATGCTGTGTTAGTTTTTTTTGTAATTCTTCGATCATTTCGAGATGAGTTTTTTAAATTTGGTTTCATTTTTTGGATGTTAATTTTATATTTATATTCAGTGTATTCATGATGGAACATCGCTATTATGATAAAAGGTTTACTGCAATAGATTTAGATCCGTATGGTTCAGCTTCAAGCTTTCTTGATTCTGCTGTGCAAGCTCTTTGTGATAATGGTATAGTCAATTTTACAGAAAAAAAAAGTCTAATTGCCTGAAAATTGTTTTATACTTTATAAAAATTTCGAAAAAAATGCTTTATAAAAATTTAAATGAAGCTTATTTGCAGGATTGCTGATGGTGACGTGCACAGATATGGCTGTTTTATGTGGTAATACTCCAGAAGCTTGTTATGCAAAATATAACTCGATTGGGCTTCGTCATAAATGTTGTCATGAGTTTGTACGATTATTATGATATTTAATACATCATTTAATTATTACAAGATGGACTTATCAGGTAGATGGATTAAGTAGGTAGGAAATATGTAAAATATGAAATATGAAATATGTTTACAGATCTGAAGCTAATATTGTTGTTCGTTAAAGATGACTTAAATTTTTAATTTTTCCTATTTGAAATTTGAAGTTAATCATTCTAAAGTTAGTCCGAAAAAAAAACGAATGAAAGTTTTGCCAGAAAAACTTGCATTTTAAGATATTTAGGCAATTAGAGTACTTCTAAAAACGATTGATTCATGTGCAAATTTGCACGGGAAATATATTGAACCGTTACTCTCAGTTAGTGTGGATTTTTATGTGCGAATTTTTGCGCGAATTCGAATTGGAGCCAAGGTCGCCAAGGACAGTGCAACGTTGGTTTGAAATCGTACTTTTTGCACCACATTCTGTAATTTTAATTCTGTTGTCACTAACGATATTTCAATTCATTCTTCTTATCATATTTTTTATCAATGTTCCGTTTTTTTTGTTATGATCAGCTGTTCTAGCTATGTAAAGTCGTATTTCAAAATAAAAAACGATCATTTATTTCAGGAAAGTGGCTTATGTACTTGCTTGCACTGGTTGCCATTCTTTAGATATACAACCGATTGTTCGGAAGATGATTAATAATGGCTCTATAAAATATAATCCATCAGTATTTCACTCTAATTTATTAGCTGATCAAAACAAGTGCCTACATTGCAGTCATCCAGTGCATATAGCAGGTCCAATTTATTCAGCTCCAATGCATGACACTGATTTTGTTCAAAATCTTATCAAGAGGTATCTTTTCACTTTTTATGAACAAGAATTAGTCGTTGTCTAGATAAATAAGTTAAACTTAGGGATTCAACTATTAAGATTTATGAGCTGATGAATTATGTTTTGCATAACGATTGTTCGGAAGATGGTTAATTCAGTGGCTCGGTGGTAAAATTGCCAGAGAGAATCGGGGTTTGAGTTCGAATCCTTCTACGCACCAATATTAATCTGGAAACAGTAACGAAAAAAAGAAAGGAGAATAAAATGGCCCAGCATGTTGATGCTCAATTTGGAGCGCCGACGCTGAAATTCTACTCCCGGTAGGTGTAAATCTGAATTGTGATAAGCCCTCACCCTATATGATTGAAGCGAATCGTGAACGGGTTCCCTCTGGCATATTTTTCTGGTGCAACAAGCCAGTGGAGCGAGTCTTACCAGTAATGGTGAGGGTTTAAAAAAAAAAAAAAATAACCTATAGTGTGAGGAATTTGTTCATCAAATTTTTATTTCTCACGTTTGTTTTAGGTTGGAGCAAACACCAGTTGATCAAAGATTTCAGACACATAATCGCCTTTTTGGTATTTTGAACGTAATATCGGAGGTTTTATAACTATAATTTCTTTCTCTATTTATTTTTACTTCTATGATCGATTTGTTTTTTATTGCTTTAGGAATTGATTGATGTTCCACTGTATTATGAACATGATCAGCTTATGCATATTGTAAAAACAGCTGTGCCACGACTATTAGATATACGATCTGCAATTATTAACGCCGGATATCGATGTTCCATTTCGCATTGTAATCCTCGTGCATTGAAAACTGATGCTCCTACTACTTTACTATGGGATGTAGCGCGAGCCCTTGTTGGCATTTTTATAAATTCTTTTTCTTACTAGGATGGTTCACTCTATTTTTTATATTACACAGATCATGGGATTTATTGATAATGATCTAAAAAATTCTATCAGGAAGTTGGTCCAAATCATATCAATCATTCTTCTCTTATTTTTTTATCATTTTGATTTTTCAGGCAAAAAAGAATAATGTAACGCTTGATCGTTTCGATGAAAATAGTCCAGGACGCAAAATCCTGGAATCTTCTATAAAGTTACGTAAAATTGTTACGTAAAACTTCGGCTATTTGTTTTTTATTGCTTCAGGAATTATTTTAAAAATTTTTTTTATTTCAGGCACACAATCGATTTTAAAGTCCATCCAAATGCTTTAGCTAAAAGCAAAATTGATGGTCTTCTACGATTTCAAGATAATAAAGGAAAAAATTGGGGACCAAAGCAAAAAGCTAAAAGTAAGCAAAACAATGTACAAAGTGATTAATGGCAGTTGGTTTTATTACTATGTTTGTAAACTCGTGTATCGAAAATGTTGTTTTATTACTCTCAAAAAGATGTCTTATGATGGACTGGGTTCTTTTCTTAGTTTACTTGCTGATAATTCCTTAAAACCTGTTGTATTTCCTTCGTATTCCTTGTGCACTTTTTCACATTTCCAAATCCATAAAACTTTTCTTGACTATCGACAGTTCCATCTGTACTCCTTGGACAAACCATTTACCATTTTTTTATAACTTGCAACTTAAATGAGTTTTTTTGGACCCATGGACGAACGTGGCAAATTATATAGATTGTTTTTCTGTTATTTCAATTTTATTTTTTTATTTTTAATTTTAATTTTATTTGTTGCGATAAAGATTCGTAGGTAAAATCATTGAAAAGACATTGTAAGCGCGGATTATTTTGTTTTTTTTTTGCACCTTGTGAATTCATATGACAAATATATTGGATTATTTCTAGATGATAAATGATGAATCTGTTCCGCGAATAAGGTTATTTATTTGATTTTAAGGCAAGATTTTTTTCTAAAATACCTGTTTTATGCAGAAATTATCTCACAAATTTACAATTATTACCAGAAAACATGAAATATTAATAAAAAAATTTTTGAAGTTTCAGCTACCATTAAAAAATAGCGGTAATTAAGTTCGCAACTCCGACTGTTTGAATAATTGAACGACAATAGAAACATAAAATCTAATGGCGGGAAAAATGAAAGGCTTGGAGCACCTCTTGCATAACATTTGGAAATTCTTGGGAGGCTTCGAGAGATATCGAAACATCCTGCATTAAATTGGTGATAAGCTATTTCTACTAGACTGCAAATTATATAATTCGTTTTTGGCTAATAATAAATTGCACTGCTGAAGGATTCAGTACCATTTTATGAATTAAAATGTCTGGAAATGGTATAAATGACTTTCAGTTTGAAAATCAAATGTTATTGTCAGCAAAGAAACAAAGAAACATCAACGTTCTAAATTTACGTAGATATGAAAAAAAATTCATATTGTTTTGTAGAACTCAGTTTCCGGAATCTTCTGCTCATTTTGTGTATGTATTTCTTCACTTTTCGTCAGATTTTTGTTAGTAATTTCATTTAAATTTTTTAAGATTGGTTTATACAGTACTTTCAACATACGTCTATTAATGCCTACTGGTGACATCGCAGAGTTGAGTTTTGTTTCATCCATGAGATATTGGTCCATTTCTTTAACAAAAGCGGGTTTTGATAGTCTGTTCAACAACATTTTTTTTCTAACAATATTCCTGTAAATTAAGGAACTATGAAAGGAAAACACTGTGGCTTATGGAATTTTTTAGTTTAATTTTTAATATTTCTTAATTTTTCAAAAATCGTTCGCAAATATTCATACCTGCATCGTCTGATTTCTTCCTTCATAAGTGCACATTGCACAGCATCATTTATTGTTGGATAGAAGTATTCGTTTGAAACAAAGTTATAGAAACCAAATTTATCAAGCATGTCTCTTATTGGTGCTGAAAAATTTTCTATTTTCTAAAATTTTCTAAAAAATTTTCTATGCATGTATTATTATAGTACGAATAAATTTTTTTTTTTTCTTTTCATAACGCATTTGAGATAAATATTTTATGTCTAAAAATTCCCAACAAACTGACCTTTTATTCCTGCGAAATATGTGTGGATCCCATCTTTGTCCATATTTTTGAAAAGCTATAAGTTTCTTGGTTATAATTTTGCAGCAATTAAAAAAATTTCTACAGATCGGTATAATTTTATTACTGCTTTCTAGGATTAGAATTAGGTTTGTCATATCAGAATGATGAAAAAATTGTCAGTGCAACCAATGGTTCAATCAGTTCTGGGTATATATGGCGAATTTGTGTGATGAGGGCGTCTATTTAGTGGATATCTTGTGAAGTCTAATGGTCAGGCTGGTGGCATCAGGAACATTACAGATGTGAACTTCGCAATAAGGTTATTGTTATAAAACTCATTGATAACAAATAAATCAATATTTAATAATTTTACTTCGATAAGAGAGCGGATACTCATGATATCGATGAATGTGAATCCTGAGCAATCGACTATAAGGTGCCGGACATTCTTCTTTGATCCGTATATACCAGTTTCACTGGATTCACTCTAAATATTCATTTATATCAGAGAATTAACTGAAAGTCAAATTATTAAGACGAATTTTTTAGCATCAATTAAAGCTCACAGAAAATTTGAAGACTTTATTAAGAGCTGAATTATTTCGACTTAAAGTTTGAATGGTAAAATAAAGATGTCAACTAAGCAAAATATCAAACTTTTGTATGTTTTGTATGTTTTTCAAATGTTCTTTTTTATCAATTGAATTTTATCAATTATTCACTTATGAAACTTACGGAACTGTTACCAAATTGTCAAAAGACCTGTAACCAAACACGTCTAATTTTCAAACAGAAAACAAAAAATCTACTACGAAGATACTAACAAAACTTTTCCTTAATCTCCTTTTCTTTTGGATCTTTTTAACTTTATTTACTGTTCTGACTTGGAGAATATGGTCAAGCGCTGCAATACATTTTTCTGGACAAAATGTAGCTTTATCTGCAGCATCTCGAAAATGATCAACGTTTGTGAATAGCTAAATATACAGATATTATGTAGAAAATATTAAATAAGTTATGAAAGTTATTAAAAATAAAAAATTTAAAGATTAAAAGAAATATTAATAATAAAATAAAGATAAGCAAAAAATTTAAGGTTGATAATTTCCGCAAAATTTCTTGAATTCATGTTAAGAGCTAATTACTTTTCTGCTACCAGACAAAAAATCCTTACAAGTGGAGCGTCAAATCGAAATATCCGAATGGAATCGATTTCAGCTACTCTTCCATATCTTCCACAATCGCGGTAATCATTAGTTCCTGTCAACTGTGATAGTATATACCAGTTTGGCCTAAATTTTTACGATGATCGTGAATTTAATATTCGTCAGTACAGGTATGTTAATGATACCACTGAGTGCGAAATATGACCGTCAGAAGAGCAAAAGCGACAGATATCGATAATCCCCACATAACGTCTGTAGCCACCGTTGAAAAAAAACTGACCATCCAGATTGCCTGCAAGAATATTTATATGACTAATCTCTATAGGTATGCATTTACCTAACAATGCTTAAAGAAAATTTGAATTTCTAGGAAATAAAAATATTTGTTATTTATATTATATTATACTAAAAATCACTTACAAAATCCCATTTAGAGACAATCCACAATTCATTAAGCTCCTCGGCCTTACGGAATATATTTTTCAGTGAAAATATTATGATCACTGCTAGTATGCACTAAATTTATAACTGAATTACAATTAAAAGTACTCACTGATTAATATTAAATTTTCTGATAAATGACTAAATATTAAATATAAATTATGCAAAAAGCAATAAGCTAAGTAAAAAACCATCATAGTCACTGATAGAAACTGCGATCGGCGATATGTTTAGTATATGAGGGATGAGATTAATATGGCGTTTGCTGATTGTTTTCAATCAGGTAGATGTATTTAGAACTTAAAAGAAGTTTCTTAGGGAGAATTTATATAGCGAATTACAATGTTAGAGGACAGTTCCGCCATTTAATCAACCTACTTATAAACGACAAACTGGTACTGAATAAAAACTTGCCAATGGCAGAGACTGTAAAAGTGGTCCAAGCCATAAAATCACAGATAAAACCAAAATGCTCGCAAAAAATCCAGAAAGCTAAATTTTTTCGATTACAACAGGGTTATTATAAAGTAGCAGACAGGTGAAATTACAAACTTTTTTGCATATTTCGATTAAAATAGCCTTGGAACTAGTCTTAGAGATAAATAATGCAAACTAGAAACAACCAAGTCATAAAATATGCACATATCAGAACATATCTGATCCTTAAATTCTTTATTCAAATAGCAAATTTATTCTGTTCTTAATAAGTGACGAATAAATTTGTACCTATATAACAAAGCTTTTATTTAGTTTTAGTTTAGTGTGAGAGATCCAAGCCAAATCATAACAAAATGCTACCGAACTATAACCAACCGAAGTAGTAGATTCATGGAAAAGACCACTATTAGTGCCAACAAAAAATAAAGTTTTAAAGTTTAATTTCAGATCAGAAATCAAAAAAATGCAAACATCTCCGAAGGATCAAATGAAAAAATCATTAAGTAAGTAAATAAGTATGATCGTAATTAAAAATAGCCGGATAATTGATAATAAATCAAACCAATAACCTGCGTTTTGCACCCACTCTCTGCATTCACCGTAGATCGGCCTAATGCCGATGAAACTGGATAAGTCAAGAATATAGAGGAAATAACGCCAGCTATACCGATTGCAAACAGTTCCTAAAATTGAAATGATATGATAAACTATTCTTTTTTCTTTTTTGCCACTGATTTGCAAAAATTATCAGCTGTGTGCTGTTTAAATTATTTCTATACCAGCAAGATTTGACTCCGATATAGGCTTCGAGAAAAAATAAAAAATCTGTTAAAAAATCTGATTGAGGCTAGGAACTCGTTTTTATTGCCAAGTGGCAAAATTATCTCATCCCAACAAAGGTCAGTGCAATGAGTCAGTGTGCTAATCACTAACTTACTTTTTTTTATTTACCTACAAAAATTGCGCATGAAAAAAATAATTGGTTTCTTTCTGACGAAGATAAATTTTAACGACTTGTCGTAACGAATTTTTTTCAGTCGATGCATATTGTTAAAAATATCCTCATTTTTTCTGATAATGGTTTTTAAAATGACCTCCTCGATAACAAGCACGTCATACTTATTTATTAATCTAGTTTCCAGGTTTCTTTGACTACTAGAAAGAAATCGGAGAGCTAGCTGATGATAGAAATGATAGAACATAGACGGGTCTCCAGCATCACTTGGATTGTTATTTTGGTTGCTCAAATTTATTCATTATACCAAATATTTTTGGTGATCCACAAATAAAATTAGTATCAAAGGAAAACCAAACCTTTTTAAATTTATTATTGAAAAATTTAAAAAATTATAGCTGGAAGACAACCTGATTGTTATCAGTTTTATAATTGTAACGCCGGCTAAATATTTTGCACATCGATAAATGTACTGCAACAATAACGAAGGCAATCTCGATTGCATCTTCGATAACGTAAAGTATTAATTCAGAATTTGGCAATTCAGCCCTAGGTAAACTGCAATGAAAAGCACTTAAATTCACTAGAGGTTAAATAGCTTTCTTAGTACAAATTTCTTCTTAATATAAATGTAGAACATTGATAAAACTAGTGGATAGATGAAATGATTTTACGAATAAATACCAAAAGCGCAAAATCCAAGAATTTTGCCTTTTGCATTAACATTATAAATATTAAACATTATTCAATCGCTAGTTCCAAACATAAAAAAAAATTAAAATATGACATCAGTCGACATATGTAGCTAGTAATTTTTAATATTTATGGACATACAAAGTCGCCAGTTTTATCCCGAATGTTCAACTTTTAAACCATTCTGATCCAATCCGACAAAATGTTATATAACCTATAAAAATTTCCATGACTTTCCATGATTTAAATTATTTTAAAACGAAGTATTCACCCTGCTTGTATTGTTCCAACAACCTTTACATTGTATGTTTCTTCAAGCTTTAGGCTATAAGAACATATTACGGCTAAAACCACCAAAATCAATTCGAATGGTAGTGGCGCTGGTAACAATTTTGAAAGTTTCGGATTCAGTAATTCTTTGCCTGCAACAAATTCACTAACCAAATTTTTGATCCAAAAAAATCACAACAAAATTATCAAAACAAATTATATAGGAAAAAACTCTGGATATTTTTGTTAAGATAGTCGAAAATATCTCACCAATGTATAGAAATAAAAATCCGCAAAGAGAGGCGAATATCACTGAAATATTAATATCACAAAAATTCCGAAATAGCGTTACGAATTGCTGAAAAATACAATAAATAGGAATTTTTCTTCTTATCTTAAGATTATAAACAGGGCCTACAACACCAGCCAACCATAAAACATAAATGTATTTACATTTAATTAAAAAAATAAATCCCTTTTTCATCCCTGTGGGTGGTAAGGATCATCCTCTGCCAGAGGCCTATGAGATCTAGGAGATTGAGGCTTCTTCGGTAACTATGCACTTTTCTGGACAGAAAGACCTCTAGGTTTTTCCTGGAATCTGGACGGAAACCACTTTTGTGGTTTAGAGGCCACAGATCCAAGTGCTTCAGTTATCATTGCAACTACTTTGGCCCCCTTTTATTTCTCTCTCTCTCTATATATATATATATATATTCGCCAAAATCTGCTCTATCTGATTCTTCACTTTAGATTTTTTTTTTTTTGAATAGTTCTCACCATTACTGGTTAAACTCGCTCCACTGGTTTGTCGCAATTGAGCAATATCCCTTGGCGATAGAAATACAGGTGAGTCGCTAGCATCACCTGGATTTTTGTACAGGTTTACTCCTGTGGGATTCGAACCTCAGCATCAGCGCTCCCAATCGAGCAACATCCCACTGAGCTATTCTTTCCCCATTCACTTATAGGTAAGCTAATATGACTGAGAGCATTGGAAATATTATATTTAGTTGATGACACAGATGAAGGAAATACTGGGGTTGAAATACAACAGCTATGTGAGAGAATGAAAAAATAGGTGCATTGTGAAAAAATTATCATTTCCTTATTGATTTTTTAAGCAGGAATTATTTACATCATCGCTTCATTTTTTAGTTTAATAATAGATTAATAGTAAAAGACCAATGAAAATCATTGTAGCGGTCTAGCAAATTACCACATCAAAAATTATCAAAAGGAATCAATTAACCGAGAAACTGATAAGGCAGTTTTTATCAGCGCAGAAAGGCTTATGATTTGTTATATGCAAAATGAAAATCAAGCAAGGGATTCAAATATTATAAGATGACGACATCCGTAAAAAATTAAAAAACTAAAGGGAGTAAGAAGAAAAGATATATTTGATGGCTCGTTAAAGGAGATAAGAACTTCCTGATGGAACCAACCAAGATTAAAATCGAATTTACCCGGGAATTAGATTCTGGCATCGCTATTCGGCGATAACACCAGCAGTAAAAGTTGCTAGACCCGGACTCCAGCTATGCCATTTTGATCACAGCACGATAAGCCACCAACCCCATCATCTTCTATTCATTAAATCCTTTTTGATCCTTAATTATAACTGATGAGGTAAACTGCTAGTTTAAATATCTTTCTCGATTTACAACATAGTAGCATTTGCCGTTTGAATACAGGGCTTGTAACGATGTACCAGGTATGACAAAAGAACCGTGTATACAGAAAAGGGGGATTTTCATAGCAGTATGGAATTTTCGTTGAGAGCACGGCGATTCCCTTTCAATATTCTACCTTTACAACAATTCCTTTTGGGAATCCCCTCCACTATCTTTCTGCATAGATTTCACTTCCGTGCCACGCGGGACTTTTCTTTTTTATCAATATTATAAAAACTCTGCGGCCAGCGTTCTACTTCTTACTTTTATCGTTGCGAACCTCAAACTTGGGTAATTAAACCTTTATTAGTAAAGATGCAAACATATACAAGAAAATAAAGCGAAGTAATTGCCCTACTACAACCAAATAACACAGTCAAGGAAATCAAATATGAAAACTAAATGCCCATCATTCACTGACCACTCCCCCATTTGTTTCCCCTAATAAAGCACAAAAGTGACCAAAATTGATCTTTTGGGAACTTATATTTAATTTAATATGGGCGGGAATCCGGATGATTTGCTCAAATTTACAGTTTTTTTCGCCTTTCGACAACACCATGCTTCTTTCAAATTTCATAGCATTTCTTTGATTCAAACCATTGATTTGATCAAATTCTGTTATGAGGAAATTTTTAAATTTAATAATTATTCGTAAATTGTAAATGTGCTAATTCCATAAACTATGAAATATCCAGCAGGAATGATCATAAGTTGATATGATATAATCAAGAAATTAAAAGGTTATATTGCCTTATCATGCCAAATACCAAAAATTTTGCTTCTAACTTAGATTAGCTTCCTCCAGGGAAAAAATTTTCAAAAATTGAGAAAATAGTTGAAAACAAAAGCAATAAGAATTTAATTTAATTTAATTTAATTAATTTGATTTAATTTAATAAATTTAATAAATTTAATTTAATAAAACTCTCAAAAACTAAGGATTCTATCGTTTCACTGGCGAAATTACTTTCTGCTGTTTAAGTCTCGCAAAATTATAAATCTGAATTTGGTGTGGACTAAGTGTTACGTGAAATATTCCGTACGGAGAACAATGAGGATTTCATTGTTGGGATACCAGAATAACAGACTTCAAAGAAGTTTTAAAGGAAACAAAGAGTCTTGGAGTATGCAAAGTAGTTTATCCATGTTTGAAGATGGCTCTGCCCCAGTGATTGGTATTTTTACCAGTTTGACCAGTATGGCCATCATTTTATTTTTTAATGTGAATTTTTCATATTTTGGATTCCCATTGAAAAGGGATTATTTGCAAAAATTTACTTCCCTTTTACTTGTGGTCTGCTAGACATTTCAAATTTTGGTTTTAATTTGCAATTCAAAAAGCAAAGAAAGCCATCGACATAGTTTTTACAACTAAATTGATTGAAACTAAAAAAATTGAGTTTTAAAAAAATGAAACATACCAAAAATATCATACCCCGGTCATTCTTTCTTGCAACGTTGATCTGAAATCAAAATTGGTAGGAAATAAACAGTGTTAAAGGCCTTTTATCATTATTATTAAAACCTAAAAGAAAAACCAAAATATCTTCCAGCTCTTATATGAAAGTTTTTGTACTGGTGAATAAAGCAATTTCGTCTTTTCTTTCTCCTAGCACGCAACATTTCTGGTTTGATTGACTACTATGTTGGGGACTTTGACTAGACTATTTGTAGATAGAAGTAGAGAAGTGTTCTCTGCACCTTCTGAATTTCAGTGGCAAGTTTACTGAGCTGGAGGGACAGACAGCAATCGTATCCATATCGTTCGACCTCCATCCAAGCAACATACTATTCGACATGCTAATAACAGTCAGATACATTTATTTAAGCTTAAAGATTTTAGTTTTCATAAGGGACTCCAATTCCAACTGATTATCTTTCTCAAATTTGCTAATTTCAGAAATAATAAACGTTAATCAATGAAAAATTGTAACCTGAAAAATTTTATCCAACTGCACGATTATTACATGAATTGAAGCTCCAGTGCTAAATCCAGAAATAAGTTGATCCGACAAATATGAAGCTAAAAATTCGATCCGAAAAACTGCCATTAAAATCTAAAAATGACCCTTTAAACTTAAAAATGGAACCCAGAAGTTTTTCTAGTTGACAAACGAGTTTTTTTCTCAATATCAATATTCTCCAAATGAAACTCAAAAACTGAATTAGAGTTGAAATGCAGTTGAATTTAAACTGTGGCAGTTTAGTAAATAACACAATATGAAGCTTACATGCACAATTCCAACACAAAAAGTTAATGACGAGACGATTTGTATACTAGTAACATCTTTCAAACCAAGGGGAATATTAGCAGTAAGATTTTGCAGAACGGCAGTAGATGCGCCCATTTTGACAGCATTCCCAATATAAGAAACTTCATTTTCTAGATGATTTTGATTAATCTTTGTGAGAATTCTTGATTGTGATGTACCTGTCATTAAATTGACTATAGCAAATGATCCTGCAACAATATTTATTTAAAATGTAAATGAAAAAAACCACTTTCTGACAAAAGTCGCCTTTGAGAATAGTTAAAAAAGGATGAAAGGGTGTTTCATGCAATTGCCAATTACTAAAAAATTCAAAATTCAAACGAGAGAGAATTCAAACCGCAATAAAAAAACTTGTAAAAAATATGAATTTACCAATTGAAGCATGTTTAGATGTTCCAAGTATCATATAGAAAAGAACAGGAAAAAATGAGGAATAGAGTCCATACACTGGATCAACGCCGGACAGAATAGCGTACGCTATTCCTAAACAACTATTGCATTTGAGGTTTTTTTTGTAATTTTTTATTGCAGACAACTTGATACAATTAATTCTAATTAAAATTAAATTTAACTAATTTCCAATTTCATTAAAATTTTATGAAAAATTAATTTGTAAATTGCCTTGTGGAACGTGCATAACACCAATGGTAATGCCTGCAACGAAATCTCCAATTATATAAGACTTCCATTTATAATTGCTCAACCACTTTATGCAAGGTACTAATGAAACCAAAAATGTTAAAAATTGCCTCTTGCCGAAAAACGGATATAGAATACGCTTTGCATAATTCTTTACCTTTTTATCAATTTTTGGCGGCGGGCAAAAATCGTAAAGTTCATCGAATTCGCTCTGAAATTTTCAGATATACTTCCATAGTTTGGCGGCAAGAATTTCTTTAATAATTCATTTCATCGAAAACTTTTGGAAATAAACGACAAATTATTATTGAAAATTTAAATAAAAAATGACCTGCCGCATGAAATTTTTGCGCATCTGTGTTATAGGTGGAGAAATTTCATCAGTAACAGTACTGTTCAAATTCATCCTTGAAATATATTCATTTGATGATATCTTCTTTTATGAAAATGCAATCAAGGGAAAATCGATTAGGAAATAAAAGAAAATTTGTATAGTTGTTATATTAGTTATAATAGTTGCTATAATAGTTGTTATATTATGATAATTCTCTTCGTACTTCTGCTGTGATAAGACATTTCATAATCTCGAAAAAACGATTTAAAAATGGTCATTTATATGAAATATTGCAGATAAATACGATTTTATTAGAGTCAACATTGAAATAAGGATTCAATATGAAATAATTCCATTCGAGGCAATATCAAGAAAACCATTAAAATATTAACATATGATTAATATTATGGTTGCCAACATTTTATGAACTTTTTTATTTCACTACCATTTTATCAAATTTTTTGAAAAAAGAACCAATAAATAGCTTGGAATATTTTTTAATCTAATTAGAAATCCAATGAAACTGAGAGAAATTTATCGATAAGGTTGAAATGAGGTAAAAGAGCAAAGTAAAAGAGCAAAAATTGGCTTTGAAGCATCATGAAGGAGTCATAAATTTTTTATCAAAAAATCAAGCAAACACAAAATTGATAATAATTAATAAATATTTTCTATTTCGGTGAATCACATTTGACAAGTTAAAAGCAAAAAGTGACTTATTATAAAATAGAAAACATTTAAAAAAAAAAAAAAAACGATAAGTCATTGTCGAATAAAATAGTTACATTTACATTTTATTTGTGAACTATAAAAATAACAATTGTCGTTAAATTATGATGGTGATGAAACATGCAACAAGTAATGGCAAATTTCATTTATGTCGTTATTTCGATTATATCACTTTTATAGAAATAGTGTTACTTAGTTGTAGGAAAAAATCCAGTTTGTTGCTTCTATGAAAAATTTCTCAGAACATATGATTAGGAAATGAGATATTCAGTTAAAAGGCGATTTTCTTCTTTAGCCTGTATGCATGATTGAATGATTAGCTAATTATCAACCCTTTAAGCAACGATTTGCTGGCATGCTCTGAAACTTCTTCAAAACACAATAAAACCCGTACATTTTGAGGAAAGTCACTTAATTGCATCTTCTATAGAATTGTTGCAGAATTATAAGCTAAAAAAAATCAAAAAGTAGTTTCTGCCAAATCGAGAAAATGGAAATGTATGAAAAAATTAATTTTCTCCAGGCATTTATAGTGCTTTAGCTTTCATTATTGATTCAACAGTCCTCAAAAATTGAGAAAAAGAAAGTCCTCGTCCATTCTATAAGTCCATAGGCATTTCATAACATTTTTCAATGTTCTCAGAATCCTCGAAGGCCATTTTTTATGTTTAAAATCTAGAATTTAAATCTAGATTTCATAGAACATGTCGAGCACTGGCCAATTTTATTAATAAATTTGTTTAAAGTCTATTCTGACGTCGTCTATTCTTCTTTTGCCCTCTTCTAGTATTGATTTGGTTGGATTTAATGACTAACAGAATGAGAATCTTTCATCAAAAAGCCATTTGAGGATAGAAATCAAAGTCTGACCTATGTGATTTCTGTTTAAGCAGTAGTATGCTCCATCCTCGTTTCTTAAATTTTTAATTATCAAATTAATCTCTAATTAAATAGAATATAATAGAAAATTATCAGAAATTTCATCTGATTAGCTCAGTTTAGCATATGGGTTAATAATAATAAATAAATAATAAATAATAGTTAATATTAATAATAATAATAAATAATATTAAATAGCAATATTAATGATACTTAATATTAATAAAATTAACATTAATAATAATAAATAATATTAAATAACAATATTAATAATAATTAATATTAATATTAATATTGATAATAATAATAAATATAATATCTAAGAAGCAGTCCTTGCATGCTTCTTGCTTCAGATAAATCTTCACGCCACTACGCCATTCTATCCCGATTTAATCACTAAAACTTGTTGGAATCAACGATAATATTGTATTTATTGCCGTATGTTCCTAATCTTACAAGTTGCTTATGCTTTTTGTTTAATGTTTCTAATGACACATCTCTCTAACAAAAATTTCATTTCACAAATGTTTCATTTTCATAAAAATTTTCCCTGCTGCCACTGCTCTCTTTTTCTATTGTCTCATTTTTCTTAAAATCTGAGACACATCATTCAATTCATGTTATATATTGCATTTAAATGCAATAACACTATTCTTCTTCTTCTAACAGCTCTCACCATTATTAGTTAGGCTGACTGCGCTGGTTGTAAGGGCAAGATGTCTCAAAACTGTTCGGTATGATGCCATTGTTAACAGTAAAAGAAACCATCTCTTTTTTCATCGTCTAAGTCCATATATTGCTGGTCCATCTATACATTCGAAATCTTTCATGACTATATCAGTCCAAGTCTTGATTGGTCCTCCTCTCTTTTGACGCTATTACAGGGTTTAGCTAATAACGAATGTGTCAACTCTTGTAATAGCCCACGAAGAACGTGCGCTAACCAACGAAGACAGCTCTGTGTGATGCTACTGTTAATACAAGTGGTACTTGAGTGAAAGTGGATGTAATCATGTGAGATTTTATCTTTTAAAGAATATTATTGAATATAAAATATAAAAATGGCATCAATAATTGATATATATATATATATATATATATATAGAATTTTTGTTTTAAAAACTAATAATTATACTAATACTAATAAACTAATAAAACTAAAACATCTTTCCAGTCGCAAAGAAATGATAAAGTGAACACAATACAATTAAGTCAAATGCATTGCAATAACCTAACCCACTAAACGACAATATTTTACAGTAGTAATTGCAATTATCGGAAAAAAAGGGATGAGTAAAATTATAATCAGATAGGCACGCCATGTGAACTTTGATGAATAAGTTTTTCGATGAATGAATTTTTCGATAATTTTAATGTTGCAACTTTTTAGTTACATTTATTTGCATATGAATCGCCCTATATAATTAGTTCTCATTTAAATAAGATAAAAGTTTTGGCTCGTTCACCACTAAAATCATCTTAAATTAGCTATAAATTATATTAAATAGGAATCCTTAAAATAATTAAAGTGGTTAGCACTCATCATTTCTATTGAGATTCGCTCAGCTGGCTTTTCATGCTTAAAGAGATAAGTACATTCGATTATGGCGCACAATTTTCCATAGAATAATTAAATAAAAAATTGAGAATTCTTTTTCTTCACGATATATTTTATTTATTAATCGTTAAGATGCAAAATCAAATTCTTATCAGAAAAAATAATCGATTATGATAACGAAGTGAATATGAAATGACAATATTTAGTGTTACCAACGCTTTAAACAAACTCAGCAGAGTTTAAATTATCAAAACATTGGAATGAACTATAAATTGAAGTTAATTCATTCTATACTTTCGATAGGAATTAGCTTGTTTGAATTCATAAAAGTTTAAATTTATCGCAAAAAAATTTAAAATTTATTCGACGTGAACGATAGCAATTTGATTTTACAGATGATTAATCATTCTTTGCACTACAATTCCTTTGCGAACTTTGTCGAATACTCGAATTTTGTTATAGAATTTTGCACTTGAATACCGCATTTACATTAATTATTGAAATTTCATACCTTATGAAAAGGATAAGGTAAAAAATTTAATGAACAAATTTTTTAGAATTCTCGCATTTTATATTTAAATTCTTTCGTAAAGCGAATCTTTCGAAGCGTTTTATGGCTGAAGTCAATTACCATGAAGGATTCCATTTTTCACGGCCTCATCAATTATTTGTGGTGAGACCCCTTCCATTTATCGAACGATATAATGTAAAGCCAAATTTTCTATTTTGCCAAATCTATTTACTTTCGTGATTTCCCCAAACTTTGTTGTCTTTCATTTCGCTGCAACAGTTTATTGAAAAGGACTACACATCTACTATTCAAGATCTATGGTACGATGCTCTGGATACTGCAATCTGTGATACTTGAAGTCTTGAAAGTTCTGTAATCTTAACCTTCATCAAATCAAATTGTTTGAAATCAGTCAAAGATAATCAAGGCTAAGCCTTTTGAGTTAAACTCCCTTCAAATTGTTTATTTTGCTACCTTGCTTAAGAGCAAAGTGCTTATGCAAATTTAATACTTTTGGCTGCCCAACACTTAAGCTTCGCCACCGTGCATAATTTTTTTTAATACCAATTTTTTAGTAAAGCCCAGAACTTATCATTTCATCAAAGTATATCATTCAAAATATGATGCGAACAGCTGGTGAACTTGCTGACGCGCATAAGTAGCATACTAATGAAAGATATGAATACATCTTGGATTTTAAAATTCTATCGGCCCATATAAATTTCATTTTTCCCTTATTTAGAGTTCTTTGTTTCCGAACAGGAGAGGATCTTGAACGTTTGTTTACTCGATAAATTTCAAGATAAGGAGGTTTATGGAAGAAAACTCAAGTTAATCGACGATTTGGAAAAGCACGATAGTCTAAGTTTCTTCTGATTACTCTGTCACAATTCAGAGTCCGATGAATTCTTGCAATATTTTTTTAGCCTTTCAAGTTCTAACCGTCAGTCGCAGTCAAGAATTATTGAATGGTTATACTGGATATCAAGACAATATTTAATTCAAGCAGTGTAGTAAATATGATACAGTACAAAAATATTGTTTGCAACAGTAGAGATATAATATAATACAGTCGAATGATACAATATAAAAGAACTGCGATGACATGTAAGACCTCCCAACTTTTTGGTCATCGAGTTGTTTTGATCTTTTCTGGAGCTATTCAAAAATACCAAATATGATATAGTAAGATGATTGTTCTTTATAGACAAGTAATAATAATTTAGATATATAGATTCAAATAAATTAATGAATTAAGATTTTATAATGGATTAAGATATTATAACATTTTTGACGCAAATAGATAATGGATGGAAGAATTTTATATCGAAGCTCGTGGCGTTTTTAACTTTTGCATAAATCAAAAAGCGCAAGTCTAAAAAAGCAACATACCAGTTTCACCAAACTAAAGAAAGAAGAAAGCTTCGAGAGAAGCCGTTCAAGATCGCAATCTCCTAAGAGTAATTGAGGATGGATAGTGAAAATGACGAACTAATCCTTTAAAATTTCAAATTCATCATATTTATCATTTTATTATTCTTTATGCATTTCACAATAAATTTGTTTTTCGCTTATATGCAGTTGCATTATACGTCTTTTTATTTCTTTAAATCTTGTCCAGCAACCAAATACTTTGTGAAACATATCAGTGTATTTAGAGGATTCGCTGGGATATTAAACCAATGCATCAGAGTTACCAGTTGTTTTTTACTTTGGTAAGGTGACGCTTGTATTTTATTTTTCATTGAAATAAGACGAGTATTTAAGACGATTTTTAATGAAATAAAGTCAAAACTCTTCTTTCTTTAAGCAGCTTCCTTTATCCTTTAAAAAAAAATCACCTTTCTTCGAGGTTTCATAATCTCTATTATCTGCCAAAACGCTTTTTTTTTATCTTCGAGCTGGAATTACGAGAATTATGAAAAATATCGAATTTTCATTTCATATAGCTTCAAATCTAACACAAGTGAAATGGAGTCTTAAAATCTGCCAAACATTTATCTATTTACGGCAATATGCAACAATTAGTAATAACAAGAAAGCATAAGCATTATTCTATTCACTTAGTAATTAAATGAAATTTCATTTGAATTCGAATTTTATATCAGTCGCATAATTTGACGTAATTTTCAACTTGCACTTAAGTTTATCTCATAAATCAGAAACTTTAGAAACTCAAATCTGTTTAAATCTGTTTAGCTCTATCCGCAATTTATCTTCCCTCTTATTCGTTTCATCCTTGTCACACAGTATTTTTGAGCTTAACTTGAGCAAAATATTCTTTTTTTCTGGGTTTTTTTAGGACCGTTTTCTGGCTCTCAGTTCTTTGACTTTGTAATGTTAGTAATTTTTAATAGTGCCTTCATTTTTCGATATAAAATTGTAAATTTATATATTTATTTATTATATTTATATTTATTTGTTTTGAAGATTCTAAGATTTACTTTTAAATAAAAAATTTCTGAGAAAAATT